ATATACTTTTAGGTTAGAGCTGAATCTTCAAAATAACAAGAATGAGACACACAAGGTGAAGGTCAGGTAGGACCTAAACCGACCAGACCAGATTTGTCATGATGGCCCTAGCCTGACGAGCTCCATCTTATTTCCACCACATGTGTTCTCACTAGCACCCTGGGAGGCCAAGACAAGTGGATTTCCTGAGCTCAGGAGTTCAAGACTAGCCTGAGCAAGAGTGAGACCCCATCTCTACTAAAAATAGAAAAACTAGTCAGGAGTGGTGGTACACACTTGTAGTCCAGTAACATCAGAGGCTGAGCCAAAAGGATTGCTCAAGCCCAAGTATTTAACATTAATGTGAGTTATGATGCCACAACACTCTACCCAGGGTGAGAGAAAAACTCTGTCTCAAAAAAAAAAAAGAAATTTTGTTTTTAAATGAAGGTGGGAGGCACCAAGATGGAGGCCGAATGGCCCCACCATTGTCCTCCTTCCCAGGAGAACCTTTCCTAACTAACTACCTATCAAAAGGTTTAATGAAGAAGAATGATGTTAACTTTAACGAAGCAGGGGGAAAGATCCAGTTCTGGATATACCTGCCACTTTGCAACTGAAAGCATAATTCCCATACTGTGGGTCCAGGAAACTGATTTAATAAGTTCAACAATTGTTTGCTGCAACCTCCCATGAACTGTACCCTCATTTGTGCTAGGAAGTTAAGCAAATTTCGTAATTCATTTCAGGGAATGCATAAGACTAAGAAATAGAAAATATTAACTGATTAGAGTGGAGGAAAGTGTACCCTATTGCGAAGAGAACTCCCTAGTGTTACCTTAGAGCCTGCTAGACTTCTCCCAAGTTGGCTTTCACTGTGGGATGATGGAGTCTTCCAGGACTTTCCTTAGGATAGTCTTTGTGTCCTCAGCAACTATGGCAAGTAAGAGCCTGTGTTTCATTCCTCTGAAGTAGCAGATGATATAGTCACCTAGCCATGGGATGTAGCTCAGGAGACTGAGGAATGCCTTCATGACCGCACAAGTCATGCAAGTCATTTTCCAATCCCTTTTGCTGAGAACTTGCACATCACGAGGCTTCATGATGTTCATGTAGTCTGTGAATATCCTCCCCATTCTTTGTGCCACCTGCCAGAGAGATTCATCATCCACGCCAAAGAACGACTGGTAGGCATTCAGACACACAGCCAAATCATCTGCATCTGAGATGCCACAGGCATCCTGGAAAGACTGTGTGGTTATTTTCTTTTGCAGGGAGGTCACTTTGTCATTAATGACCATCTCACAGGTGTGGGACAGCTTTTGAAGGAGGTCATGGCACCTAATTTTTATGAGATCTGTTCTCAACATGTCTCTAAGCTTTGGGAAGTCATGCAATAAAGGTTCAAGGCTGGAGACCAGAAATATAGGGGGTTCACATACCTGCTTCTTCTGAAGATTTTCCAGAATATTTTCTATGATACTCTGACGTAGCTGCCCTTCTGTGAGGGCACTTGTGCTGAGGACCATGTCCAGCTTGGTCCAGACAATGTAGAACTTTTTTCTCATGTCCTCAATGGTTTTGGCAAGCATTACATGACTCACGCTGAACTGTTCAGATGCAATGATGATGAAGAAGTCATAGCGGCTGAACTGCATTTCCATCAGATAGTTCTCCAGGCTGTCAGTGGCACACCCTGTGCCAGGCAAGTCCCACAGCACCACGTTTGGAAAGTGGGGAGATAAATAGGAGGCACATGTGTGGGTAGTCTTTACCACCCCAACAGGAGCCGAGTCTTCCCCCTCATGTCCTATGTTCCGAAGTGCATTGATGAAGCTAGACATGCCATTGCCAGAGTCTCCTGTCACAGCAATGTTGACTGGTGTCCTGGACATTATCTTCACAGTCTCCCTGATGGCAGAGACCACCTCTGGCAAGTTCCCATCTGCAATGGCTTTCTCAATGTTCATGGCCTCCGCCTTGGATAAAATATCCCAATGCCAACGCTGTGGCAAAACAGTGGTTCAGGGTGCAGATAACAGAGGGCGAGGGAATGGTGGGAGCTCCGTCACATCAGTGAGCAGCAGAAGGACCTAAGAAAGCAGAAGAGCCCATGAGTTAGGACGGACAGGGTGCATGAGGATCACCTGACTCAGCTCTCTGGCTTGGGGTTTTCTCCAACAATGAAGACCACAGCAAAGACAGCTGGGTTAAAACCCAAGCAAGCAAAATGCACTCATTCAAGCAGTGTGCACCATCCTTCAGGCAGCGGCAAAGGTGGGGTCCCTGAAGAACGCCCCCAGAGGTCAGCCTCCAAAGCAGGAATGTGGTGACCAGAGGACCTGAGTAGCAGAACAGTCTCCCTCATTCCCACAAAGGCTTTTTTCTTTTGTTCTGTTTCTCTCCCCTGACGTAGGTGTCTGCTCCTTCACAATTTTCAGGACATATTTCATGACCAATAAAAGACCAAGCAAATAAAAGTCACCTCTATATCTCTCTGCTGTAGGTGGCACCGGAGGAC